AATGCCTTTGTTTTCATATAAAAAATTGGGATTTTATTGTATTATATAATTTTTATTTGATTTTGTATAATAAAATCTATTAAAAACTCAATTTGATTAAATTGATATTAAATTGGGGTTTATTTGTTTTTTTTTCTAAACTTCAACTACCAAGCCATAATTAAAAATCAGCATGGCAAAGATTTCGGCTAGCTTTATAAAAGACCTTAGCAAGAAGCAGAAATTTGAATTCATTTCATTAAAGAATATACCAATGGAATAAAATAAACAATTTACTCGTTTCCAGCATTTTTATGTGTCAATAAAGAGCTGCAAATACTTTAAAGACATATTGTGCTAACCATTTCACAAAGCTTTTAAATTAACTTTTTAATATTCATTTTAAGCACTTTTAATAAGCCTTAAATATACTTTTTTTAAATTCCTTTTACACCTTTTTCAATCGCATTTACTTTTTTTTTTTTAACTCCCTTGCACACAGGCTAAAAAACCAATTATAGAACAGTCCGTTTGTGGCTTAACCCTTATACAATTTAAATTCTATTAAAAAATTTAAGGAAATACACCTTATTCTTAAATTGAGGCACTTTAATTGACATTTGCTGCTGCACTTTAAAGCAATTTTGGTTTTAAGATTTTGGCATTAAGACTTCTGTTGTTTATACGAATAAAATTTATGCTAATACAAGTACGCACATATTTGAAATTTATGTTTCTTGTTTTTGCATATTCTCCGGACTCACAGGCCAAAAAGCAATTTGGCAATTTGCATGTGCAAAATTTGTCGTTATCGTTGTTGTTTTTGTTGTGTTTATCTACACATGAAATTGTTTGTCGTTTATGTGCAAAGCGACAACTGAGTGTGTGTGTGTGTGTGTGTGTGTGTGTTAGGATTAGAATTATGTGGAAAATTAGCTTATTTGACATTTCAATAAGCAAATATTTGTATAAATACGTAGAACGTGCAAAATATGTGTGCGCCTCACGCCTGACTGCTCGGCTATCTATATAATTGGGTGTCGCTTTAAGGCGCACGTGTGCTTGCCTTTGTGTCCTTGAGTGCCCAAAATGGCGAGCTGTCATCGCTAAAACAAAACCCAACTCTTAAAGTGCCATCAGCTCGCCCTACTTCGCTCTTGCTCTCTCATTCTCACACTCTGTCTGTCTCTGTCTTTGGTATTTATTTATCTGCTATTGTCAGTTAATTTCCGTTCAAGTAGCCATTAAAACAATCATTGCGGCGCTTAGTCGCCCACACTCACACACACACACACGTGCGCACACGCATGCTTATTTATGTGACAAGCTTCATTTTTATGTGCCGCCATTAACAGCTTCAGCTTGTTGTCACAGCAGCCATTTAATAATAATAAAATGGCTGAATCCAAGTTAAATAACTCAATTATGTGGCCCGCAGACATGGTCTTGGACCGCGGTTCGCCTTCGGTTAGCTCGACCACGTTCTTGGCCCGCACCCAGCTTTAGTTAATTTTTTTCCTTCAATAGAATTCAATTTGCCGTCTTTCCCTTCAATTTTCGGCTGCTTTTGCCGTTTCTTTTGCATTTAATCATTGCTGTTTTGGGCTTAAAGCCAAAATTAAGCAACCTTTTGTATCATTGGCTTTGCTATTCATATGTCATATATATATGGTATACATACATTTGCATGCATACACATACATATATATCTATATATATTGGGTTATTAGTTGTCATACGGCGTGTGACACGTGTCGACAGTTGCCTTAACACTGTTGACTTGCAAAAGTTTTGGATAAGTTTTGAACTTTTAATTCCGCCCAAAGTCAATTTATCAGTGAACTCGACACTTCACTCAGCATGACAGCCAGTTAAGAAAAGGCTTAAACTGTAACTGAAACAACCAGCCAGCCAACTAACTTAATATCCAATTCGCCAAGGTGCCCGTAGGCACTCGGGCAAGTTTCTTTTGTTAACAGTTTTCGTAACTATTTCAGATTTCAAGTAAGATTAATACTGTCATGTATCAGTAAAGACTTTTTATTATGAAAATGTATTTTTAATTTTTATGCATAGAGCTTTTCAATCGAATATCCCCTTTGAATAGTGCTGGTTATTATTCAATATAATGATTGATTTTATTTTATTACTTTATAAATACTTTTTTGAAATTATTAGAAGATATCTGCATTGAAGTTTACGTTTTCTTCTTTAAAATGGAACTTGATTTGCTTGAATGATTTTTTATTTAACTTGTAAATATGTGATTAAAAAAATGACTGGTGTTTACTTTTTAAACATTAGTTTAAATTGCAAAAAAAAAAGGATTTCATTAACACTTTAATGTTCTAATAAGAAATTTTTAAATTTTTAGTAATGATGAGAGCGCATTTTTTTAAATATAATAATGATTTTATTTATGATATTACTTGATAAATATTTATTTAAATTTTCTTTTTCTATATGTTATTCTTATGTGGTATTGACAAATATTCTATTGTGTTGTGTATGTGCGCTTTATATAATAAAAAACATGTATTTGAATATATTTTTTATTTAATTTTATTTTTTTAATTTACTTTTACTTCTTTTATTTACTTTTACTTTTTTATTAACTTTTCATTTCATGCAACAATTTCAATAATTATTGCAGTTATTTACATCAATCAAGTGATATCAAGTTGTCAAATTCAGTTGCATGTTATTTATTTATTATGCCCAGAAATTAAATTAATTTGTCCAACACTGTGGTTATTTTTGTTAATTGTAATTCGCATTGGGCACCTTTGAATACCTGTCACAACCGTAAAACACGCTCACAGACAAACACGCATACACACGCATACATACGCACACTCGGAGACACAAATACACAGCCAGAAATGGACAACTATCGCGAGCGATTCGCTTCAACTTTGATCAAATGTTTGAAGATGCGCGCTGGTTGGCTTTTGGGTGCCAAGATAGACGAGGTTCAGGACTTCGCAATTGCTTTCGTACGCGTCGGCACAGGAATAACGACTGAGGCGAAACGAACTTGGCCCATGATGGAGTTAGCCACGATGAGGCCAGTACTCACCACACAGGCCTCCGCCGTGTGGTGGGCTAAAAAACAGCTGCTCGGCCAATTGGCGCCAAAAGCCGGCAAGCCATTTGTTTATATTGCGCGCTAAGGGAGAGCGAAGGATAAAGAGAGCGAGAGAGAGAGAGAGGGTACAAAAGAGAGAAAGAGAGAGTTGAATTGAGCTAAGCGAAAGCTCATCAACTAAGAGCGGCAGTTAACATCGTAAGAGAAAGGCTGCTGTTAGCCAAAAGCTTGGCAAATAGCTGGAATTGTCGTTGACAGCAGAAATTCAAAATGGATGCAGTTCGTTAAAGGCAAACCAATAAAACTGCCAGGCAGGTATTTATTTTTTATATTTATAATCAATGTCATATTGAACTTTTTTTAATTTTTAAATATTTTTTTCTTTTATACTACTAAAAGAGGTATTTAAATAATCTTAACGATGTCAAAACTAATTCTTTTATATATTGCAGAATTGTTAAAACATCCAGTATTGTAACAAATCCTGGTTAAATCAAGCCTAATGGAAAATACATACTTGTAAATATAAAACAAGAGTGAACTATTGAATTATTCGCCGTTTTAGTTTTCAGGTTGAATGGGCCTTAAAAAAGACAAAGATTTATGCGTAGCAGAAAACTATAAGTTGTGTGTTCCAAATGAACACCTTTTGCATGCTGCACAAGTTTAGTTTGTGCTTTGTAAGCATGCCAGGGCATAGGGATTATAAGAAGATGGCCCTAATCAATAAGGTTTCAATTTGTGGCTAAAGAGTAGAACCACCGTCAGACTCACACAGAAGTGCAATACCTGTTGTCGTCGGGGCTTTATAAATGTATGTATATTAAGGAAACCGAGCTGGGAGCAGGGCCAAACAGTTTAACCTTTGGCTCGGCTTGACAATGCCATCAATCATTTGGCCTGGCAGCCATCATTTCGTTTTGTAGGCAATCTCGCAGGCGCTTATCCTTTAACCTGAGTCCGGGCCGCAAAACTACGAGCACATTCAATTACCCAACCAGCAGACTTTTGAATAAATGTTATGTATGTTGGGGTGTGTTCGCCTTTTGTTTGTGTTCAGATAAAGCCCCATCTAAGTTATGCCAAAACCCACTCGAGCATCTCTCAAGGCGAAAATCATGAAATATTTATAGGGATGTGGGTGTGTGTGTGTGTGTGTGTGTGAATAAGCCCCAAAAACCGACTGATTAAAATGCGGTAGTGCTGACAGCTGCCCCACAAACTAGCTCATTTCGATTTGAGGCAGGCCACGCCTGAGCTCATTTGTTAAACGGCCCCGTGGGCGGTATCATATCATTTTCCGCAGCCCCGATAATCAATCATAATGAAAGGTAAGCATATGAGTGTGCGTGTGCAAGTGTGTGTTAATTTTGTAAGCCATTTTACAATAATTTAATTCAAGCAACAACAAACTTTTCGTACTAATTAACACACACTCGTCGTGTTACAGAGCCCACATGTATTTTGTAGAATTATGCAGAGGTTAATTGACTTAGTCATTAACCGAGAGATAACCTTAAAGATGGCCAAAAATTAAAAAAACACCATCTGCCTAGATGTTCTCACACCCCTAAATGAAAATCGGCGCAAAGTTTTTGCCAGCTGCCTCTCACGGGGAAATTCAGTTGAAAACTTTTGCAGCACTTGCACATATTTTATTGGCCTGTTTCCACGAATAGATTGAGGTCCAAATAATCGATTCATTTCAGGGAATACAAAACAAGTTGCCCACCAAACTTGTTGATAACGGTTGGCATCAGCTGTGTCTACTGGGAACTGCGCATATTAAACCATGTATTAAACTTTATAGTTCTTGGAATACAATGGTCCACTCCTTGAGTACAGAATATGGGCAAGTTGAGCATTTGCCAGATCAAATGCTTCAGTTTCGTAGCAGGCTTTTGCCTTAGGCGTCAATGCTGTACTTTCGTTTCGATAATCCAAACTCAACATTTCCCTCCAACCAAGTTTAAGTGGAACTCCAAATTTTTTCCGTATTTTCTAAACGTTCTTTTTTTTTTGTATTATAATAATGCAGCGTTTTCTGACGTTCATTATTGGAGGCATTTGCGGCTATCTTATTGCGAAACACCGCGTGAGTGCAAAGCAGAAAAAAATACTTTCATTTAATCTCTAATAAACTTGTAAAATGCGCCCACAGTAAGCCCCAGCTGCCTTCAAAGGAGTTCTATTTGCTGCTCAATTGACATAAATTTGGTTACCAAACCGCCTTAACGTTTCATTTCTACGTTTCGGTTTTTTACTTTTCAACATCTAAACAAGCATGGACTTCTTTCGATCGTATATTTAAGAATCATTGCACTAGTACAACGGGGGAATATTAAATCAAGCAAATCAAATTTGTGGCCGCATCGGAACCGTCATATTAATATTTCAACAATTATAACATCTACTCCGCATTTGACAAAATGACACATCTGCTATCGTTTGGCGCTGGCGTATTTCTTGGCTTGGCGTTGTGTCGCAGATGTAACCCGTGATCGAAAGGGATTATAAAATTTCGAAATCTGAAATGTAGTTCCATTTATACGCCACGAAAGAAACTAATTGCAATTTGTTAAAGTAATTTTTGTTTGAAGGGTTCTTTTCACAGGAGACAATGTGAGATGTGAAGTGCCTCCTGGGGCCTACATTGGGAGACAACTCAGTTGATCCCCTATAGTATTTGATCCGATCCCGTTCACTGTAAATGCCCCTCATTGTAAATACCATATTAGCTGCATAACATTGTAACTTCACCCTGCTTTCATAGTATTTGGCTTAATGGGGCTCACAAGGTGCTGATCGATTGCATCCCTTTATTAGATTAATACCAAAATATATTCCGAAGTGATATATATAATCGACTCTCGGCTAAATATTCTTGTGGACAAGGCTTTAAACTACGCGTTGCAAATGAACTTCAACAAGAGTTAAATGCAAATCTGGGCCAATTTATATTGAGAAAAGTTATCCATTTAAGTTTCTTACATAGCCATAATTAAATTTTATTGTAATTTGTACATGTGCTCTGCACGAAAATTTTGCATGTTATTTTTAGTTAAGCTTTTCATGTATAATTTTGAATGGGTTGCCATCAGTTATCAGGACCGCAACGTCGCTGCTTACACAACATCAAACCTGTTATCATGCCGAGTGCGAATGATATAACGTGACTCATGACTGTACTTCTTGGACTATTCGGCTAGTGTATGCTATATAGAGAACGTATACTTAATATTGATTCATACAATTATTTGGGCACTTACTTAAAATACAGTTTCATCACTTTTTGGATAATAAAATGCACAACAAATGTAGTGTGCCGTAACGTTGTCTTCCTTTGAAATAATAGAATGTTCCGATATATTAGATATGCGTAGAAAGCAAAGTCTACTAGTTCGGAAAAATATACTCTACCTCAAATGTTATTTGACTTCTTCTTTCGATTACACCTAAGAATGTAATCCAACGACAAAGCCAAGAACGCAACCCAACACGAAGGTAATTAACCAATCCAAATCCATTTTAAACAATTTCAAATTAAACGCAAAATATAAAAAAAAAAGAGAATCAAATAACCTAAAGCACTTTTAGAAAATATATTTTTTGATGTGATGCTTGAGACTCGAAAGGCTGTTTTAAACTGAAATAAAACTTCAGGCATGCTTGAGCAGTAAACAATTTGAAGAGTGGGTTTCAAAATAAGTTACGAATGTGGCAGCAAATTGACTGAGGTCATTTTTATGCTTATCTTGTTATTGGGTAATAGAAAAATAATAGAGTTTGGCATAGAGGTAGCTTAAAAATAACAATATATAATAATTGTCTGTCAGCCTTCACCTACAGAGTTCACCCTATTTTAATTTATGTGAATGATAGGATGACAATTTTTGCGCAATTTCACCCGCAATAGTGGAATATTGGTGGAAATATATAAAACAGATTTTACAAACTTTTTACACGGATGCCTTTAAAACTGATTTTTAAAGCTTAATAAATCGATGTTGATGTGTTTTATGCCTTCTTTAAGTACGTTAAGTGGGTGAAAAATGTGTGTTTCAGTTTCTACATGCAAAAGCTACAATTCCGCTCGGTTCGTTATCAAAGCTATTTGCCGAGCTTTATAAAAAAAATAAAGACTCAAATGGCATTCAGTCAAATATTTAATAAAAAACATCATAGTTGTTTTTATTTCTTTATTATTCACCACGCGACACAGAACTAAACCAGAAACCAGAACAGTAAAACTGATCTTATATATAAGCTATACTATAGTATTTTTTTCACATTACTTCATAGATTTTAAAGCAACTTTCAAAGACCCATGTTCAAAGATTGTGTGGGCGATAATTAAAAACTCTTTTAAAACTCCAATATAACAATTATGGAAAATATGTTTCAAATATTTTGAAAAATACATCCGGATAAAGTGGAAATTTAATAAATACTTTGCCCGGACAAAGCCGGAAATCTTCGCTGATATACTACTTAATAATTTCATAAAGTATTCAAGTTTTTAGCAAACAAGAGAAGCCGTTCACTAGGCCAAATCGAAAAATGATGATGTTTGAGGATTGGCCAACTGTGATCCCTAAGGCTAGTTTTCGACGAGAGATTTGTGTCAGGCTCAGTCGACATAATTATTTTCCGGCAGTCATACACACAAAATTTCGTTATACTGTTCAAAATTTCCCCTGTTCTTTTCATTTCTATAGTTTTTTTTTTTTTATACAAAATTTTCATTTAACTTGGAACCGGCCTTCAAATGTGTAACAAAGAGTGTGGATCGGGATCGGGATCTGGATCTGGATCCTCGGGTTGCCCCAATCCATCATGCAGACCACCGCCATCCCCACGTCCGACTTGTCGCCCTCCACCGTCGCTGTTCACGAGGCTTAACTGTACGGCCTGCAATAGACTTTTCTTCTTTATTGTTGGGGCTGGCATTGGTGTTTGGTTTAACGCGTTGAAGGAAGAGGCCAGAAAGGAAAGAGAAGAAGCAAAGAAGGACCCCAAACAAAAAGAGAAGGAGCGTAAGGAAAGAGAGAAGAAAGAGAAACAGGAGAAGGAGCAGAGAGAAAAAGAGAGGAAAGAACAGGAAAAGAAGTCAAAGGAGCAGCAAGAAAAGGACAAGAAAGAACAAGAAAAACGGGCAAAGGAACAGGAAAAGAAGAAAGAACAGAAGTAACAAAGCGAACCTAACCTAGACCATCTAAGCTAAATAGCAGAAATTACTAATACGGAGCAACGAAAACCGTTAAATTGTTGTTCTAACCCTAAATTCCAATTACAGAAAATGGAGACAAGAGAAACTAGAAAATCAGGTGTAGAAGACGCTTTAATTGTGTGGCCCAAAATTAGCAGTAACAAATTATTATAAAATTCATAGTTCAAAAAATAAAAATGGAAATAACAAATTAAATTTAATACAAAGAAATATTATTTAAAGATTCTTTTATTTCAATGGGTTTGGTATAATTGTACACATTATATTAATATAAATGAATTTTAGGCTTGGTGTTTTACACATGAAATTGAATATTTTTTCGAATCAAAAGCCCAATATTATTTACTATATAATTTGTAATATTCATGTCCTGTTATTTGCCCGGTGTCCATTCCTGGTCGGGTCCGCGATTGTTTATGTCTGGGGATTTCATTCCAAGTGCTATGCTATATGGCGCCTTGAAGGTCGTACAATAGGGCTAGAGTTAGGCAGACGTTACATCATCCTTGTTACGACTTGCACTATCTTCAGCTGTATTAGATCGTCATTCAATTCATTTGGTGTAAAGTAGCTGAGTTTGATTTGTGTGGCAATTAGAGTGTCCCCATTAGAAATCCATTCCAAACATTACTTGCCCTTATCCTTCTTCTTGCTGCCCTCTTCGACATTCCTGAGCTCCTCGGCTATCTGCTCCTTATGCCGGATGTAGTATACACCACTTCCAACGCCGGCGATGAAGAACAGAACCCGATTACATGGTTTGCAATTCAGTCGCGAAATCAGCGATGGTTGTGGTCTACAGGATCGGCGCATCTCTTTCATATTTAGTAATATTCTTGATAATGTTTATGTTTTGACTGTCAGAGTGGGACTGAATTTTTCACTTAATTTCGGATAGTATATCTCCATCGATTGACGTATCTTGCCCGGCTAACGTGTTGGATGAGCAAATCATTATTTTTTGTCACATCCATATTGCCATTTTTGCTGAAAGGCCCTTGCTTTAAGGACCGCTCAATTAAGTCTTTGGCTTAGCTGCACTTTAATAATCTATCTAGCTTATATAATTTTCTTTAATTAAAAGCTACAAAGCAGCTAAATTGAAAGTTTTTCGGGACAAGGACGGACGGAGAGAATAACATGGCTCGATCGCCTCAAAACTTTATTCAATCGGACGAGCTAACCGCGTTCGCGCAAAACCTTTATTACCTTTTAACCAATTGTAATTGGTTCCGGGTATAAAATATATACCCATTGCGATATAACTAAGTGAATGGTATTCATTTTTTGGAACTATCGTGACATCAGCCTGACTAGCGAAATTGTATTATTTCTTCTTGTTGTCCTTTGGCTTTTTGTCATCCTCAGACGGGAAGGTGTGGCCGTACCAAAGGCCCACCACAACTCCGGCCAAAGTTGCTGAGATGCGCTCACACCACATAAACATCTTGGAATTGAAATATTTATATAAAAATGGTCCCGAACAGTGTCTAATTCAGACTGATAATTTTGAAGAAATTTAAACGAAAGATTTGATACGTTTAGCTGATTAGAGCAAACTGAATTTATTTTTAATACAGTTCCTCCAATGCTCAAATGTGTAAGCCAAAAAGCAAGGGCCTACTTAGAGTACTTTAAATTCTTTCAAATAATTCATTAGCCATCAAAGACAACTTTGGCCGAGTGCTTGCCAATTGACGCAATTCGACTGCCATCAAAGAGATCGACCCAAAAAGTTCGTTTAAGCCTTAAATCCCAAATTGTGGCCTTTTTTGGAAAAGGCCCTCAACGCAGTTAAGTATATCAAACTGATGCCATCAGCCACTGTTTTTTTTTTTTTTTTTTGGGTCGCATTATAATTTCATTTGACAATTGTGGCACGTCAAAATGTCACAAGTCGCGTCTGTTTTTGCCACACACTTACATGTGGGCCAACTGCTTTGGGCAACATATTAAGAGGGCATCATTTGACAGAGCCCAAAATTAAGCAGACAATAAAAAATTAATGTGACAAGTCGATGCTGCGCATACTCTAACATTCAGTTGACAAGAGTTTTACTGTTTTCAAATAATTGACATGATTCTATTTATTGTATGGAAAACTAAATTCAATTAATTAATAAATTACTATTACTATGCTTCTATTTTTTCCTCTAAATTTGGCATGAATAGACATAGGCCCGCTTTGAACAGTGTGAAAAATGTTCAACAGACAAGAACTGAGTGGTCCTTTGTGCTGCGACTCCCTCACAAGTTTGGCAAATCCGGCTTAGAATTGATTCTAGAAAGTGTGACAAAATTAATTAGCACATTACTATTTATAGAAACGTGTACAGTTTTTAAAGTGTTGCAAAAGATTGAAAGATGCCGTAAGTTATTTTTAAGCATTGTTAGCACTGGTATTCATATTAATTATCTTTTCGCAAGCTGAACTCGATTTATTTAGAACATAAAATTAATTTTATTTCTTTCAACACAACATTTTCAAACCCTTAACAGGGTAATCCCATTCACTTTTCCTTTTTCATTTCACCATTTTTGGTCTTAAATTCATTATTAATTAAATGGTGCATTAATAATAAATTTGTAGATGACATGTCCCGCTAAAAGACGAAGGGAATTTTTAAAGAATATTCAATCAGCGCTAAATAAAAGTAAGAGATCTAAAAGGATTTTTATTTATTTGCGCTTTGAATTTCTGAGCCTTTACTGTAAACGTAGAAAATCAACACTGACAGTTGCTTCGCCTTATATTAAAGGGTATGAGTATTGTAATTATGCTAACACTTTTCATTTGACTCATTTAATTAATTTAAATTTTACCAAATTCTCTAGAAAAATGTATAGTATAAACATTCCGAAACCTATTTCACCAAAAAGATGCCAATCATTTCAAATTTTAAGGAATTGATATGTTATTGAATTGTCTAATAAATTGTGTTTTATGATGAAGTTCAATTTAAATAAGGAAAAACATATTGGCTTCGCTTCTCAATTAATTGCTGCTTTAATTAAAGATTTCTCTGTCACACCCTTGTGAGTATATTCTAATGGTTAGGGTATTTGGGTTTAAGCTATGCTCTTCGAAAGCTTTCCACATATATTTTGTAACAAATCACGTTCACAGATTTCCACGTATATCACACAATAGAATAATGGTTAAGTTATATACTTATTATTATGTTATATAAGCCAAAGCACAAATGATGTTTGGTTGTATACGATTGTGAGCCACTGTGTGCCTGCCTGGCTGGCTGGTTGCCCCGGAGCACAGGTAAAGAAAGCAAAACAATCACAGGTCGCGCAGGGCAAAAGGTTCTTCAATTGCACACAAGTAACTGAGCTGGTTGTGTGTGGCAGTCTGTCTGTATGTGTGTGTGTATTGGTGTTTAAGTATTGCTGAGCTTCAACAATCTACTCATAATACTCACACACACAAATACACAGCCTGAGGCGCGGCACACTCAATGTTAACTCACCTTGGTATCTGCAGCGCAATCTCGTCCAGACTGTCGGATGGACTCATTGGCGTCCGCTCGAAGAGGCGCGAGGGCGCCAGGGTCAGGTGGCCAGTGGAATCGCTGACACATTTGAAGACCTTGGCGCCGCGCCGCTGGCGTTGCTGTTGACGCTGCTGTTCGGCGCGCTTCTTGCGTTTGTTCTCCTCGGCGCGCTGGAGATTATGCAAGCGAAAGAAGAACATTGACATTCTGCGGGGCGTTTGTTAACGGGGCGGGCTGGGGGCGTGGTTGAGTTGAAGAATTGGGGTCGGGTTGGGTGTAGCAGGATGTTGTGCAGCGAAGCAGGCCAAACGAGTTTTTTTTCTGTTTTTTTTTTTTCTTTTTGTAGTCGCAATCAGAAATTCTCAATTTTCCAAATGTTGGTTTTTGGCGCGCGCGTTATTTATAGTTGTTGTTGCTGTTATTGTTGATGTTGTTGCTGTTGTTTTGGCGCATAATTTTGCATTTCAGTCATAGGAACAAAGCATTTGCCTATTGTTGTTGTTGTTGCGTTGCATTTGTTGTTGCATTTGATATGGAAGCAGCATGAATTATGCAACAGAATTGAAAACGTAAAGCATTTTGATTTAAGCACTATGCATGCGACTGTGTGTGTGTGTGTGCGAGAGTGTGTGTGTAACTGTGTGTGTGTGCTGTGATTTTGGGAGCTGCTCTCATTCAATGTCATTACACTACATGCATACATATAAAATGTGCATGCAAAAAGCCAAAAGTCAAACATAAATACAATCGAAGTGCTCGACTAAGAAATACCCTACAATTTATGCTTATTTTTGTGTGCTACAAACTATCGATGGTAATTATAATCGATAGCTAATACAATTAATGCTATCGACAATTTTTAGAATATCCCTTAATGTATTGACATATGAACGTAATAAAGTATAAAAGATATAAAAAAATATTCGTCTGAATTGATATCGACCTGTTATCGAGAGCCAATAGACCGCAGCTGCTTTAGTCGACAGTTGGTTGCTGCGACTGTATCATTGAAAAGCTTAATACAGCCTACTTGGCATTGGCTTTTGAGTACAGGGTATGGAAAAACCAAATCAAAACGACATGTGCCCCCAGGGCACACATGGAGCAACTGCAAAGCAAAATCAACTTCCGGCAGCATCAATCAAATTTAAGCGCCACACAACAAGACAGAGATAGATAAAGACAAAAATAGAGAGAACTAGAGAGATGAAATAGCTGCAGATTTAGGGCATTGCTGGACAGCTGCTTACAAGTTCTGTATTGCGAACCGGAAATTGAAATATGAAGAGCATTTGAGAGCAGTTTTGGCTTCTTTAAAACGATATTCCTTCAAAAAAAAAAAAAAAAAACAAAAGATAGCAAGAAGCCAACACGGAAATGAGTGGAAATTCTTGCCGAAAGCCTCAATGCAATTCCTGTTTGTCATTTAAGCCGTCGCACACACAGTTCATTTAGTTAGCCACATAGCAGCTGGCAGGAAAATCAATTGGGCAAAGAGCCAAAAATAAATGCAGAAGAATGAAAAATGTTTGGCATTGATTGATCAGGTTGCAATCAGGCATTAAATGCATTCCAAACCAGCGATTCGCTTGTCATCACCAACAAACAAGGAGTATTTGTGCAATTAGTTAGCAATTATTTTGCCTAATGACAAGACTCTCAGCACTTAATGAGGCAGCCCATAATCGAATGGATGGATGGGGAATTTGTGTCAAAAAATAAATTAATCGAAATTTACATAAATTTACTTAAGACATCGTCGCGGCGGTGGTCCCAAACTTAATTACCAATCCGCGTCCCAGACGGTCAGTAAAACAGAGCGAGAGAGAGGGCAAGTCAAATAGAGCGGCAAGAGGAGAAAGTCAATACAACAATTTGAAATGGCATTTTAGCTGGATAAACCGCAAATGAGATGCCCTGGAAAAAGTATAAGAGATTAAGCCTCAGCTTATACTCTTTACTTGGATTTATTATATTCAATTTATTTTAAATATAAATAAAAAGCACATTTGAGGCTTTATATCTAAAGCTTATTAAAGCTTTAAGTGCTCTAATTGTCTTCATTAATTATTGTTTTGAACTTTACTTTAGCTTTCCGTTCAAAGCTGTAAAATGTTGCTGCCCAAACATATGGTGAGGCAGCGTTAATCAGTAAAAGCTGCCAGCTTAAAAAGCTTTGCTTTAACGTGCTTTTGAAAGCTTTGTTAGTAACGAGAAGTTTATTTTAAAGAAGTTCTCACAGGCTGAAGGTTTTTACCAAAGAGCTACTCAAGTATGTTAATTACGGGGTATTTTAAAAACCGAATACTTTATATGTTCATTAGCTAGCTGAGAGCCTGAGACACTCTGCACATTTTGTTAATTAGGCAAACTCTGTCCGTCTTTAATAGCTTTATAATTTCCCAGAGCTTTTCACTCCGCACATTTCGGTGCTAGAGCTAAGCGATTCAAGTGCGCAAAGTGTAATAAATGAAGTCTTAATAGTTATCTAAGTGGGGCGAACTTAAATGATCAGTAGCGCAGCTTTAAATGCTACTTAAAGTTGTACTTGACTTTTCTATGCGTCGCAATCAATTATCGGAATCAATTGCAAGGAAACTGAAATAAATAACTTTCTGCTGTTGTTCTGAAGAAATTATTGATAAAGAGTCCGACTCTACAAATTTTCAGCTTGTCTTTGGAATTTTGGCATTATATAAATATCCTGAACGAAACAATTTCACGCACTCAGAAACAGCTGGCTGAAACTTTAAGAGTTAAAAACGTTGCAATTCAGTTTTTAATGCATTCGAGGTACATTATAAGATGAGATCGCGCTGGATTTTATGTGCGCTCACGGGCTTTGCTTTGCTGCAGCAGGTTGCTTTGAGGCGAGGTTAGTAAATAAAATGTACAAAGATAAAAATATATTTAACGAAATTGTCCAGAATAGAGAACAATGTAGACCGTTGCAATCTTAACATAAAAATCTTTCCGTACGCACGCTCATTATGCGAACCTTTGGGATCAGTGTGGGTAATGCGCGAAGGCAGATGCATAATGGGGCTTACGTGCACCAAGGGCTACACAGAAGAGGAGTGCAAAAAACACTGTTCCACAAAGGCTACAACGGTGTCAGCAAAGACAGCTATCAATATTCAAAGCGGTAGCAGTATAAGAACAAGGAGACCGCGCACCACAGAAGCCATGCAGATAAAACGATAAATTGTCAATAAAAACTAGAATAAATGGATTTTTAATATCAGTTGTATGAAACCGTGTAAACATACTTGCAACTATAGCTACTCATTTTTTGAGAATCGCATAGAAGAATGACATTAAACGTGTGGGGAGAATACACATGTGAAATTCATGCACTGCCTTTCTATGCAATTCTCATAACTAAGCTAAAGTGCGGGAGAGAGGAAAAGTAGAATACGGAGGCCAAAGCGAGAAATGGAGAAAGATGGAAGGAAGTTAGACAAAATGAAGCGACATTAAAAATGTGGGGAGTATGCACAAGAAAAAAGATTACCAATGCCCTTCCTGAAGTTGTCTAAAACTAAATAAAACTAATGAAAGTAAAAATATCTAAATATCTTACCTAACCGTAATAAATTAAATTACACGCTTTTAGCAACAGCTTCGGTAGACTTCGCTGGAGACGGAACACAAAATCAATAGGAAAACCAAACATATTTAGTACCTCTTAGACAGTATCATGAGAAAAGGTTGGGTTGTTTATGCCTTTTTGGGTTTGGTTTTGCTGCGGGGGACCCAGCAGAATTCGACGACTCCTGATATGTGCCAGTTAAGAGATAAGGATCGCCTCTTGTGCCAGCCATTACGTCCAGTTTGGGTGTGGCATGAGGGCGAATGCAGGATCACCCAATCTTGTCAACCAGGCTACAGCTCAGAGGAATGCATAGAGTATTGCAGCACACTATCAAAGTCAAAATTGGCTTCAAAACAGACAGCCTTGCGAACTAGTCAGACAAAGGTACTAAAACGCCACAAAATTGCACCATGAAGTCGATCCTATCAATTAAACCATAAAATAGCCGATGACAACTAATCAATAATAATAAATATGTGTTTAAGTTCAAGAAAAACGGCAATAATTGCGAAATAACCACAAATTGTCAGTAAATACAATAATAAATTGCGTTAATTGACGTTCCTTTACCAGGTACAATGGGAGCATTCTTTTGGGAAATCCAAATATGAATATCCAAAAGTGAACGAGCTTGAAATTATGAGAATCGCAGAGAACAGCGATGCTAAAACGGTGAAAGGTTAGCACAAGCAAGAGGCCTTTCTCTGCGATTATCTTAAATTCATATGAATGATAAAAATTAAATGAAGGTATAAGAAATAACAAGATGGCCTGAGAGAGAGAGAGAGAGAGCAGCAGAAATGTGGAAAAAGAAGAAAAGGTTAAATGAAAATGAAAGGAAAAGGATCACAAAAACTTAGTGAGTAAGCGAAAAAGAGGGCGAGTTGGAAAGTCTTCCCGAAATCCGGGAAAGTAAGGCGTTGGGGGATTGATCAAATATGTTAGAATTCATACCAAAAAATCCTGGCTATGCCCATAAAACGTGTAAAATTAGCAAAACAGTTAAATAAACCTAAATGCAGCTTATCAGCCGCACACAGAATGTTCCGCTGGGTCAGTTAGCTCTGTCAGCGGACTGCGTACCGATGTCTTAAATGATTTCACGCCCATTGCAAAATCGAACAAAAAAAAAAGGAAAGAAAAACAAACAATGGCAGCATTTTCAGCATTCCAACAAGCCGACACGAACAATGGCCGAAAAAAAGGGAAGAAAAAAATGAGCCCAATAATCATTAGGGCACAAAAACTTGGCCAAAAGCAAAGACTTGTGACGCGCTGGCTTTTGTCTTGCATTGGGTTGAGTGAGTTGAAGTACACACACACACACACACACGCACACACAAGTGCTGATAGAATGGCAAGGGGTTTTGCGGTGTATTGCGAATATAAAGCAAAATGCCGAAATAAACACTTGTGCGAGCTCCAACTGTGCCTCCTGCTGTTGTTAGCTGGCCACAAAAGGGCATATTTTCCAGCTCAACAGAGGCGTTTAGGGCACGTTCAATAAGCGCGTGTGTGTATGTGTGTGTGTCGGTGTGTGTGTGTGCGTACAGGACACAGGTCATTTCTTTGTCCTCGTGATGAGGCGTGCCGTAAAAATGCGCTCTTGCCGCCCAACCGAAAAATGAAGATGCGCAATAAAAATGTAGACAATTTTTACGACACAGCACAACATGAAAATGGCCACTTTATTTCTTCATTAAAAATCCGTATTGATTGCCCCACACTCCGCACCAGCACACTTCACCAACAATCAAAGCTTTCTCTCTCTTAAACCCAAAAGTATAGAGCCAACCCCCCCACAGCAATTTGATGTACCCAATTTAATTGTGGACACGAAAAGAGAACTTTTGATTTAGTTGGCATACACACGCATAGTGAAACACACGCACACACAAGTGTTAAGTAAATAAATGTGAATAATAAATAATTCATCAATGTCGCTTGCGACGTGGCAGAAATATACTCGAATTGGCCAAATTAAAAACATAAAATTTCATCTGTTTTTTGCGAAAGTCCACAATCGTTCGCTGAAGTGTGAAAAGTCTGTCCTTTTTTTTCCTATACCTTCTACCCATTAAATTGTTGCTAAAGCGTTTACAATAAAAAGTTGCTTACTAGAGCTTGACTTTATATATAGAGTATGGATTTCCATCGTAACTCTCCCAATTTTTGTTTTCGTTAACTTTTTAAATAACTTTTTGTGATACTTTAATTTAATCTAAGCATTAGCATATTAATTGTTGAAAATATGGTATATAGCGTAACTTTCAGTCCAGCATTTCCAATTGTCTTTTTATTTGCTTTGTATGCATTTATATTTGATTACAGCGGAAAATTGAAAATAATATTTTGCATGCACAGCTGCTTTTGAGCGCCGTGCTGGGCCTTTTTCTATGTCAGCCACATTTATTTATTTGTATTGTTTTTGCGGCCTTTGATCAATTTGAATTTCAATATGCCTGAGCTTGACATTTCATGGCGTATTGAATGGCCAAGTATTTGTGTACGAAATTGTGCCAGTTATACAATTGATGATTGATGGTGGATAATTCCACTTCAAAGTATAATTAATTTCAATTTGATGCGTTAACATAACTATTAAGTTTTCCTTGAAATATGCGATTAACTCGTATGTTAACTAATTAATAAATTGATTTTTATCAATCATAAGGTAATCTGTAATAATAATAATTTGCAAGTAAAACACAACAGCAAGTGGTATTTAATTAAGAGTTAAATTTAACTGCAATTATGTTAACTTATTTATTAATTTAGATTATACAGCATGCTGCGATTTGCAAGGGTTCTGATTAAGATATATTAATATATAAGCAAGGACTTGACTTGACTTGACTTTATTTAATTTAATTTACACAAGCAAACTTTTAAAGAAATGTATATTTTAAAGCAAATAAAATTGTCTCAAGCTCAGCTTCTAAAAAAGCACGTGAAATATGATGACATTTAAAAGCCCGCTTAAACATTCAAATTGTTAGCTTTCAATAGCTGTGTTATTTGTGCCAGCTTTTCGTGCTACGCAGCACTTCGCACAGATTTCAGATTATTTAGAAGTAATCTGACCAACTAAATTGTAGGCAATTTATAAATATTTAAATACATTCACTCTTATAAAAGTCGACAAGCCATAAATATTGCATAAGCCAGTCGTCATAACTTTCGAATATTTAAAATGCCTTAAGAGCTTTAGTTACGATGGCTTTAAGACTATGTGAAGTTGAAAAACTGGAAAACTTTGGCATAAGCAAAACTTGTCAGCTAATTAAGAGGCACACATTGTGTACGCACACTTGAGGCAAACGCTTGCCTGGGCCTACATAAAGGAACCAAAACGTAATAAATAAAGTAAAAAAGTAACTCGTCTTGGGCAAAGAATGGGAATCAGCACAAATATGAGTATAAGGTATATTATACATACTTATAAGAGGTAAGCGACTACAATGAGGCAGCTGTTGACTGAGCTCAGATGAGGTTGAGAAAGATGACGCAAATGACGATGATGATGCTCATAATGATCATGGCGTGAATGTTGTTCCGAATGGTAGCCGGGTCACAGCGACACCAACAACAAGAACAAGCACAAGAACGACAACAATGGCTGAATGTGTGTGCGCGCGTGTGCGTGTGTGTATGTGTGTGTGTGTGTGTGTCAAAAGGATTGGCATTTTAATTTGATTTCGCATTGATAGAGCAAATGGTGACAGTTTACACTGTGCATGCGAATTGCGTAATACATATATTAAAATTAAAAATAAAAAAAAAACAATTCTGCACAAAAATAAAGAAAACTTACTTGAGAAAACCAACCAACTAACTTGTAGTTGCGTGTAATTGTTATAGGACTGTCATTATTATTATTATTGTTATTGTTGTTGTTATTATTATTATTGTTGTTGCTGCTCATGTTGCATGAAGAGTCGTAGGAAAATTGAGACAGACAGACAGATAGACAGAGCGAGAGAGAGAGAGATAGAGAGAGATGGTCGCAACACACTATATTTAACTAACAATTACACTATACAACACAACACAGACGCAGGCAAAGCACACATTACATTTATCATATGTGTAGCAATCATTTTCATAGCAGCTCCCAAACGGATTGTCACATTTATTTTTGTGTTACCTGACGACGTTTAAGTTGAGTTAAATGCTTTTTTGAAATTCTTTAATAGCTTAAGTTGATTTGTTTTAGTTTAGGTTATTTAATTTTACTCCGTTTTTTTTTTTTTTTTTTTCTATCGGAAATATGTTTAAGCACAGTCTAGAGTTACACTTTCAGTTGTTTGTTTAATATCGTTTCATATATTTACACTAATCTTTGGTCAATTGACACCAAGAGTAAAGTTTTGTCTATGGCTTATGTACTAATTAAAGCTTTTACCAAATCGTGTACCATTTTTGGTGGTCATATGTACACTTAAATGTAATACTAATAAATAATGTATATTATATGTACGTATATGTATAATTAACTACATCGAGCATATGGCTAATTAGTTAATTTTTAGGTTTATTTAATTATGCACAAGTCTCACATTGATGTTGCAACAGCTTAGAAGAATTTATCAAATTGTATTTAGGTATATTTATATAAATAGATTTTGTTTTGGGCGTTGGCTTTGTGTTTGGTC